ACATCAAATATTGCCACAGGTCTCATTTTCTGACTTCCAATCTCTACCTGCTGCCCAACTCATTGGTAACAAGCAGTGAGAAGGCCTCTGGTCAGAAGAGAACCAGTATCAGGACCAGTCTTGCCTCATCTAAAACAAGCAATTGTAGGAAAAGCAACAACGGTAGCTCTAAACTCCAAACTGAAATGGGAAGGCTGGTGGCCCCATTTTCAGCCTTTCTCTGTTAAAGACTTTGAGATACATAGGTCCTTCACCAACATGAATTCCGCTTCAATATCCCCACCATGAACCTGCAGTCAATAATTGAAAAACAATCTTTGATCTCCAATGTGAGTCCACACCTCCTATAGGGCAAGAAGAGTGAGGAGACACAAGATGCTTTAGGGTACCAGAGGCAAGCCTCCTGCTTTCCTGGAAGTCCAAGTGTTAAAAGCATGTGGGGTCCATTCATCTGCTGACTCCCCAGCCTCTGACACCACCAGAGGTCCTACTTACCTGCAAGAATCTGAAATCTTCCATCATAGCGTCAACAGAGAAGGGAAGAGAGGGAGTGCTGGAACAGGCCCCCAAAGCCACGCAGGGTGGGCAATGCAAGCCTGATGACTTGTTGGAAACTGGATGGAGAAAGAGGAAGACAATGCCTACCTTGCTCAGAAATACACACTGACATCTCCACACTTAATAGGCACAAAACCATAGGACTGGAGAGATAGTACAGGGGGGAGGGTGCTAGCGTTTGCCTGCACAACCTGGCCAACCCAGGTTCATATCCCTGGCATCCCATCTGGTCCTCTGAACACTGGCAGGAGTAAATTCCTGAGCACAGAGTCAGGAATAATTTCTGAGCACCACTGGGTGTGGTCACCAAACAAAACAAAATAAAACAAGCACAAAACCCAGTATCCAGGCCAGTTTTCATGGTTGTCCCTTTGCTCTGAATCCTGGTGAGCTCCTAAAGGAGTTATGTATGAAAACAAAGACCAAGGTCTGAGCTATTATTCTGATGGCCCACATGGGGCTATGCTAAGAACACAAAGAACAGTGAAAAATTTCAGGCGTTACAGACTTCCTCTTGGCTCTCATCTCTCCCCTCTCAAGATACCTGGCACTGTTGTCTGGATACTTTCATTCTTCATGAAAGTTCCCCTGGCTGTTACAAAGGAACTCTTTACAGTATTTGCTGTAGGAAACTCTCCTGCTGCCAGGTGCTGGAGGAAGCTGGATGAACAGCTGCCTCCCACTTATCAGATAGAACCATTAAAACCAAACACTGCAGAGGCTGGAGCAATAGCACAGCGGGTAGGGTGTTTGCCTTCCGGGCGACTGACCCGGGTTTGATTCCCAGCATCCCATATGGTCCCCTGAGCACCGCCAGGAGTAATTCCTGTGTGCAGAGCCAGGAGTAACCCCTGTGCATCGCCAGGTGTGACCCAAAAAGGAAAAGAAAACCCCAAACCCCCACCCAAAACCGCAGCCTTGCCTGCTATCAGGAGACAGCAGGGAAGGAAAGTGAATTTGGCCCAAATGTGCAGCCTGAGCCAGGTGAACAACATGGACACGTTAGCAGGGACCTAATCACCTTCCTCCACCCAAACCCAGTGCCCTGTTCTCAGCTGACCTGCTTGAATGATCAGATTTCCTGGCACACACTTCCATTGTCACAAGTGTCAACTTCTTCTGAGGTCCCGTTATTGTTGCTGAGACTTCCAGGTTTAGATACAGGCTGTCCTGACCACTCCTTTGGAGCCCCTGGAAGGAAAACCAGGTAAAGGGAAGCTGTGTCCTTCTCTGTGGGACCAAACCCCATCCTACCTTCTGGGACCAACCCTCTCTCCATGACATGCCAAGGAGGCAGCTCCCAGGAGACAGGAACAGGGAACCCCCGAAGGTAGAGGATCCCAAGGATTCTTGGAAGAACCAATCTTCCTTTCCCCCACCCCACCTCCTGGAAGCTGGGAGTTGGGAGATAGGAAATTTGGAAGATCACAGACCCGCATTCCACCCGGAGGGTGGTCAAGGACTGGCTTCAGGGAGGAGTTTAAGATTGTCCCCATTTGGCCTGTGAGTTTGAGCAAGTTAGGGCGCGCCTGATGCCTCAGTGTCCACCAAGACCATTGACCACGGAGCCATATACCTATGCTTGTCACAGCCAGGGACGGTCCTCCAGCCGCAGAGCCCAGACATGCATCTCCTCTCAGACTCGAGGGTCCTAGTCCAACTTCAGGCACCATCTGCCCCAATAAAAGTCTGAAATTCTCAGATACCAAAGTTTGGATTCAGTCACCTTTGTCTGAAGGAAGGGGGTCCCAATTACACCCCTCTCAACCTCGGGATTCAGGAATCCTGCTCTGCTCACCACCACCCCACCCACCACGTGAAACTGGGTCCCCAATCCGTTTGTCTTTAAGGGTCTAACATCCTAATACTCAGGAATCCTCATCAGACTCTCACAGAACCTGAGTCCTGGGTGATGGGTCTGTTCTCATCAGTACCCAACTCTCTTTTGAAGGGCCTGCAACTGAAGGGCGGGTTAATCCTGCCTTACAGGTAACTCGAGGCCTCATTGGTCAATGCAGGAACATGGGCTGAGTTCATTGGACAAGCCTGGAAGGATGCCATTGGCAGGCTAAGCCAATCTGGGGCTGATTTAGAGAGTGCGCCTGCGCAGAATGGCGGGGTGGGGGCAGGGCAAGCAACTCTGGAAACCCAGCAGATGTTGAACATGTGATCTTTGCAGATCTTTGCATGTGCCGGGTGGATAGTGGATGGAACGCATGCGTTGGTCACCCTTTTCCTGCTTTAGATGATGACTTTTTAACTCTCCTGCCAGACTGGGAAGTCAAGGCTTGCAACCTGACCACCTGAATCGGCACTGCCCACGTCACTGCTCGTGTTCCTGCTCAGACCATCAGTTTAGCATCGACCAGTGGTCTAGCATGAGATTAAACTTGATGTTCTTAGAACTCTTGCATTGTTTTCTACTCAGTCCTGGGTTCATCCCAAGTCTTTGTCTTCTGGATGGCTGCATAGAGATATGCTGACTTTGGCATTATTTTTTGGCACATCCGAATGTGCCAAAAATACAGGCAAAAGGTGAGAGTTCACCACGTGCTGCCTTTTATAAGTGGATCACATGGCAGGAAAAGACTCTGAGGTCCAGGCCAGAATCCAGCCATGCTGAGCCTCGGACTACACGACTTGACAGCTCCAGTGTCACTGAAAGTTTCCGTGTCTTCAAGAGTTAACAGGGTAACTGCAGAGCAGAGTTACAGGGTTCAGGGGCAAAGATGTGTCTCCTGCAGTTCTGTCTGTCTCTTTTGTTTGGAATGCAAGTCCTAGAAGCCTGCTGGTCACTGCAGAGCAAGTGAGTCACAGGGGTGTGTGAGCTGAAGGGCATGTCATACAGGGGTGCTGTCTGAACCATCAAACTTTGACATTGGTGAGCACAACAGCATCCACATTCACAGAAATGGTGTTTATGGGATGAAACTCAAGCAGGACTGCAGAGCGATGATGAATACTCTAGCTGGTGATTCAGATGCCCCTGGAACTTGCTTTTCCTGCTCTTCCTTCCCTCCCCATGCCAAGGGATTCCCTAGGTCTGCTGAAAAGGTGGGAAACACAGACCAGATTCTGAATCACTCTTTTGAGTGGACAGACAGCAGGCAGTGTGGAATTGTGGGAGGCCACTTAGATGTGGCCCCAAAGAGTGATGGAGAGAAATCTTTTAGATGAAATACTCTAAGATTGGGGGTGTTGGGTGGTAGTATCTTTCTCCTATTTCCTGGTTCATGCCTTATTCATTGAAAAATCTTACAGGAACTCGACACATGTCTACCAGATTATTGTTTTCCAATAGAAAGATTTTGGTTTACACAAATTTTCAGAAGTGGTGTAAGAGGCAAAAAAGAAATGGAGTGGATTATGGATGAAGGAAGCTCTGAATATTTGGGGGTTCTTCTTCTTCTTCTCCTCCTCCTCCTCCTCCTCTTCTTCTTCTTCTTCTTCTTCTTCTCCTCCTCCTCCTCCTCCTCCTCCTCCTCTTCTTCTTCTTCTTCTTCTTCTTCTTCTTCTTCTTCTTCTTCTTCTTCTTCTTCTTCTTCTTCTTCTTCTTCTTCTTCTTCTCCTTCTCCTCCTCCTCCTCCTCCTCCTCCTCCTCTTCCTCCTCCTCCTCCTCCTCCTTCTCCTCCCCCTCCCCCCTTCTTCCTTATTTTCTCTTCCTCCTCCTCTTCCTCCTCTCTTCCCCTTCCCCTTCCTCCTCCTCCTCCTCTTCCTTCTCCTCCTCCACACCCGGCGATGCTTAGGGCTTACTCCTGACTCTGCACTCAGGAATCATTACTGGCGGTGCTTGGGAGGCCATATGGAATGCCAGGGATCAAACCTGGGTCATCTGCATGTAAGGCAAACACCCTATCTGCTGTATTATTACTCCACCCCTTTACACTGTCTTTTATATGCTCTGATTTTCATGTGGGCAAAGGAAGAAGTGGATGCTGGGATGGGGAGGGTGCTCTCTGCTGGTTGCATCCTTTTCTTCCCCAGACTCACTCTCTCCCCTGGATCTTTGGTTCATCTATTAACTTCTTTCTTGCAGCCGAGCCCAGCGAATGTGACACCTCACGGAGACCAGACAGAAACCCTGGCGCTGGGGGGGGGGAAGTTTGGGAAGTAATTCCCTGGCTCCCTTCTTCTATGCCACTGTAAGAGAGGTGGAATTTTCAGCCTGGGAATAGACAGTTTAGGCAACTGTCTCTAGAGCTCTCCTTATGCAATGCCTTTCCTCACTCTTTCAAGCCAGGTTTTTGACAGGCACCCAATGACTTAGGAAGCGGTGTGGAATGTCTCTACTCCACACACACTCTCCTGTCAAGTGTCTCGGCTGGGGTAAACGCTTTTTAGTGCTGGCTCCCAGTGACCATGAGAGAAGTCCCTTGGTTCACTCTACTTTTCAGGTCCTGGAGAAGCCCAAATATCTTTGGCCATAGCATCGTTGAGGTCAGCTACCCACACTGTAACAGGCATGTGAAGCAGATGAGGGAGGAGAATGGGACATTCCCCATGGATCCCCCTCAAGCCTCTACATCCATACATCTCTGTGGGTGCCTTCCTTCCCTCCACATAGAGCAACCCAAGCATTGGTGGCATTGTTAGTATCTTTATTACCAGACTGCGGGGAGGGGGGGCATTGTTGGGATGTCCTGTCTCCCTTTGGGCGAGCCTGACTGCTCTAGGGGTGGTGCTCCAGCCTGGCTTCCCCAGCTTCCCTAGGGGAAGGAGTGTGGAGAGGCAGGGAGGGGAATTTGTGGAAGGGTTGGGAAGTCATTTGGTGATCCAGTATCTACAAGAATTGAATGTCCTGGAGGGACAGTCACCAGGGAGAGGAAAGCACTACACAGATCACTAGCCCCATCACCCATGCCAGGGAGAGGATCGGGGCAGCTTTGTTTTGAATTTCATTCTCAATCACAAGTAAGTTTCCGATAAATTGAGTTCGATTCAACAAGGTTGTAGAATGCTGGTCCATGCAGCCCTGGACATAGATTTCAGAATCCAGCTCGCCTAGGGATGGAAGAGTTCATTTGAGAGGGTTCCAAGTACAGTGCCCCTCAATTCTGAAGACCCCAGAATTCCTCTGCCCTCAGAGCAGAGTCAGGCCCCTGGCCCCTCCTCCATCAAACTCAGACCTCTGGGTCCCCAGCTGCCTCCACCTCAGGAGCCCTTGCCCCTCAGGATGAGTGAAGGGAGCCCCCGGCCCTTTCATCCCTGACACCTGCTCTTCGCCTCTCACCTCCGATGATCTTGAGGAAGCCTTGGTAACAGTGGGAGGAGCTTTTGGGACACCTTAAAACTTCTGGTTCCTCTGGGCACTGCCCAGTGAAGTTCACACAGGAGGGACACTTCACATTTCCAGGGGACTGGGGGACTGGAGAACAAAGGGAAGGTTGGGGTGCACAGCTCAGCTCCTAGCTGCAGCACCCCCTGTGTCCCCAGTCCCTGGTCTCCCTGGGTCCCTCACCTGGCCCAGGAAGGCTGTCCAGCAGGATTTCACTACTGTTTGCGTCGTTACAGCCACTGCTGTTGCAGAAATGCGAGTAGGAGGCGAACAGCACTCCGGGGGGCCTCGAGTGGACCAAGATTTTCTTCTGGGAAAGCGGGTCTTTCTGTTCGGCACAACCTTTGCTCCCCAGTATTAACGTGCTGGAGCCTGAGGGTGAGATAGGCACAGGGCAGCTGGTGGAGGGGCAGGGTTGGAGGTGCCTGGGCGGTCGAGAGGAGGATGGGGTCCTTGGTTACAAGAGTGAGTGCAGATCAAGGGATCAAGGTGGATTCGGCACCAAGACTGGGGCAGGATATGGGTGCCCCCAACCCAGATCTCTTGCCACCAGTGCTGCCTGTTTCTGCACCGAGGTCAACTTGGTGGGGTCTCCCTTAAGCCCCCCCACCCCGTTTTCAAATCGCAAGTCTTGGCCTACACCTAGAGGCCAAGGATTGCTGTCCCCGGTGCTATTCTCCTTTTGCATGTCTTGCGCCTCAGACAGCGAGTAGGCGTGTGGTATGTGTGTGTCCAGTGTGTGTGCGCGACATGCTTGTGGTATGCACACGTGCAGCATGTGTCTGACATGCTTGTGGTATGCAAGGGTGCAGCGTGCATGCGACGTGCCTATGGTATGCATGCGTGCATCGTGTGTGCCTGCGATGTGCTTGTGATATGTGTTCTGCAGCATGTGCACAACGTGCTTGTGGTATGTGAGCATGCAGCGTGCATGATGCGATGTGCTTGTGTATGTGTGCTGCAGCATGTGTGCAAGGTGCTTGTGGTATGCGTGTGTGCAGCATGCATGCAAAGTGTTGTGATATGCGTGCCTGTGGGGTACAAGTGTTTATGGGCAATGCTGACAGCAGGCAGACTATGGGATCCCCACCCCCCAACACCATGTCCAGCATCTGGCAGGCCCCCAGTCAATTTCCAATCAAGTCTTTGAAGCTCGTGTGTTTTCAGGCCCTCCTGCAAGCACATTCCTATCCATGGTCACAAGAGCCCAGTGAGGCAGATCCCGCCCCCTCCCCCTCATCCCCAGGTTTCTGGAATGGGGAGGCTGGGCACCGACAGAGGCAATGTTGCCCTTGGGTTTCCAGGTGTGAGGGGGGTAGGTTGGCTGCATACACACCCGTGGTTATGAGCAGGAGGGATTCCTGGCACACCCTCCCCTCATTGCACATCTCAATCTCATCCGTCTTCCAGGCCACCAGAATTCTGTTGTGCTGTATCAGGGCCCCTCGATGACAAGTCAGGAACTCTGGAGAGAAGGGACCATGGGGATTTTATTGGCCAGGGGACCCGGGGCACCCAGCAGACCAGGTCATCACAGGATCTCCTGATGCCAGATTGAGGAGGGACCTTGGACACCTGAGCCGTACCCCTGGGCTGGGCAGGGATGGACCCAGGGTCCCACGTCAGGACACATGTGCTCACTATCACCCTAGCCCTGGCCCTGGTCTTGTCCCTGTCCCCATTTCTGCAGGAACCCTGTCAAAGCAGTTTCTTTTTCTTTCAATTTTTCGGTCTCACTCTGGGGTGTTCCAGAGCTCCTGACTCTGGATCAGGGGACAGTCCTGGCAATACTCAGGGTGTTTGTGGGGTCAGGGATTGAACTGGCAACAGGCAACATGCAAAACCACCCCCTCAAGCCCTATAACATGTCTCCAGCACCAGGGACCCCGCTCAAGCCCCTGACAGCAGACTGCTGTCCCTTTGGGCAGCAGATGAACAGCTTGAATCCATCTCCAAGCTGCATGGATTGGCCTTGACTTCCTCCCTGAAGAATGAGGGAGAACTCTGGGTGTCAGGGAAAAACTAGTTCTCAGACTTGGGTGGAGAATGGTGGGTGGGCGGCAGGATACACACCCCACTGTTCAGATGGTTTCCCCCATGGGCGCCTGGCTAAGCCTCCCCAGGAACACACCTCATCAAGACCATCTCACTTCCTCAAAGGGACCCCAGAAGTAGGTGGGGGTATGCATCACTCTCCCTAGCCTCCAAATAGGATCCAGGTGTGTGTGTGTGTGTGTGTGTGTGTGTGTGTGTGTGTGTGTGTGTGTGTGAGTGGGGGGGCTCACATCCTCTCCTTGCTGGCTAAGCTGGACTCAGATCTCAGGACCCAGTTTGAGCATGAGCAATGGGCTGTATGGGTTTTGAGATCCATCCCTGGCTACCTGGGTCCCTGTGGCCCCTGGGAGTCCAGTGTAGAAACCAGGTACCCCATCATGTATAACAGTACCGCGTGATCAGCTGGGACATGCCTCATGTTGCATGAGTATCCACAATCATATGAAATCTCCACATCAGCCCCCCCCAAGGACAAAACCTCGGCCCCGCCTGCTCCATCCCCCACTGCCCGGCCTGAACCCTGTCCCCGCTTTCCTGTGTTGACCAATGCTGAGTCTCCTTACAATTGCTCAAGGGAAAACATTGCTGCCTTTCTCGACAGTTTTCTTATCTTCACCACAGGAAATGTCACCAGGAAATCCTGTTGGGCTTAAGCTGCTCCACACTTGCAGAACCCACCCACTGCTCCTGTCTCCACTGTGCCCTTTGGTTCCAAGGGCCCCTCCGTTCCTATGTGCCTCCACCTGAGTCTCCATGGGGGCCTTCCTGTTCCCACCCCCCCCCCCTTTCAACAATCTCAACCATAGCCAGAAGATCCCCACAACAGGTAAGTTGAGAACCAGAGAGATAGTCCAGAGGGTTAAGGCACTTGCCTTGCACAGAGCCAACCCCAGTTTGATCCCAGCACCGAAAATGGTCCCCTGAGCACTGCCTGAGCACAAAGTCAGGAGTAGGGACTGAGTACTGCTTGTCGTGGTTTCCCCAAAAACCAAACCAATCAGTGGATTCATGTGACATCTCTGCTCAGAAGACACCAGCAGATCTTATTCCCCTCAGAAAGAAGTTCTAAGTTCTCCAGTCACCCCAAGACCCTGTGTGACCTGCTCCATCTCACTGTTCTCCCTCAACTCTAGTTCCCAGAGTGCAAAGTGGACGTATGCCCCCTCCAGGGCCTTTGTACTTGCTCCCATCTTTCCTTCCTCCCTACCTGTGAAGAAAGAGGCTCAGAAGGATGGTGGTGATCCCCAACAGCAGGTTCCAAGCCCAGAAAGGGACCCCCTAACTCTGATCCAGACACCCAACTCCTAACTGCTAGGTCCTCATGGCAGTGAAGACTCCACACTCATTGGACCACTGCCCATAGCAGTGGGGTTCCCAACACTGTGCCATGCTGACCCCTCCTCCCCCGGACCTGTTCCCCAGAATCTACCTTGCCCCCATGCCCTCTTCGCTTCCTCCTGATGTCTTGTCCTACCCCAGCTCTGGTACCTGGTTGGTGCTAAATGAAGAAGCACTAACTTGCAAAACTGAAGGGAAGCAGAAGACGCTAAAGTGTCCTGGCAGGCAGGGCTCCTGTGCCTGCACACAAACAGAACCCACATTAGCTGGGTTCTTTTTGTGCCCAGCAAGGGACATCTGTGTGGTTGGGCAGCATGTGTGTGTGTGTGTGTGTGTGTGTGTGTGTGTTGGATATGGTGAATATTGTTGTGTCAGTAGAGCCTGAAGAATCTTCTGTGCATGGCCTGTGCTGTGTGGCTGTGTAGTGTATGAGGTGACTGTTGTGTGAGCAAAATGAGAGGTTAAAGGGCCATGCTGGGTGTGCAATGTGGTATATGAGGGGAATGGTGTGTATGTTCCATGTATTATGTGTGATCGTTGTATGCTGTGTGTTTGTTGTGGGTTGCATGTGTGTATTGTGTGTCTGTGCGTGTTCTATGTTGGGGCTGGTGTATATGGTCTGTGGTCTGCTGCAGCACATTATTACCTCTATTTGTCTCCACAATACCTTCTAGATTTTGGAGGGTATCTTGTGCCAGAGAAGAGGATCAGACTCTGAAACCAGCAGTAATGGAGAGGAGAGACTCATCTCCCTCCACCGTCCCACCTGTAGCACCAGGATCCCCATTAGCACTTGGGTGTGCATCACACATCTTTGTTTTGTGTTTCTAGTTCTGCTCATCCTTCCTTTTTGTTGTCTTGTTTTGGTGAGGGCATGCCTGACGGTGCTCAGGGTTCATTCCTGGCTCTGTGTTCAGGGGTCACTCCTGTGGTGTTTGGGGAGCCATGTGTGGTGCTGAGAACCAAATCCAGGTCGGCCATGTACAAGACAAACAGCTTACCCACTGGACTATCTCTCAGGCCCCCATCTTTGCTGTTTAAACCAAATCACTGGTTGGTGCTGGTTTTGCAAGTTAGTGCTTCTTCAATAAGTGCTGATATTTTGGGTAGTTATTCCTATCCTTCAAGCTGATGGCGTCTGCAGTCAAAAAACACATGATACTATGAAGTGGTCAAAAGCAAAGTGGTATATGACTTAACCCAATTATGGACAACTTTGTTACTGTGTAACTCCCTGTGATTGAGTTAAAACCAAACCAAACCAAACCAAACCCCCACAAAACCAAAAGGGGGAGACGGGCCATGGATTCCCGCCTGACTCTCTTTCATTCTCCCCTCAGGAAAAAGAGCACCTCTGGGCTGACTCTTCCCACCTACCACAGGCCACAACCCCACTCCCAACCCCTTCCTGTGCCCACAGCTGGTCCCTTTCTTGTCCTGCTGCTTTGACCTTGTTATCTGTTTTGCTCCTGATTGGCGTTGGCCTCACCCATTTTGTCTGCCTTGGAATCTTGTGATTCCCCCGCCCCGTGCCAGCTGCACCCCCACCTTCTTGAAAGCAGCAGCCTCACCCAATCATAGGGTCTTGTTACTGTTTCCTCTGCTACTTAATGTTTCCAGTCAAGGCAGCTCATTGTTAAGTCCTGGAGCACACAGGTCACCACCTCTGTGAAGCCCTCCTTGATCCCCTGCATCAATCCCCCCACATCCCACCCTCCCTGGCATCATTCCCTTCCTGCTCTGAGCTCTCTTGGGTTGCTTTCTCTCAGGCCTGTGGCCATCTGAACCTCTAACACCACCCTTCCTCCTCCTGATCACTCTTTAGGGTCAAGAATGGACTGAGTCTTCCGAGGTCTCCATGTGGGAGCCCCAGAATCCTGCAAGAACTCACTTGAGCCAACACTTCCTAGCTGCCCTCTTGGACTTGCCCTTGTGTGTCCGAGGTGGGAGCCCTGGTGCCAGTAACATATAGACCCTCTACCAGGACCTCTCAGGCTAGCCAGAGAGACCCACACACCCCAGTGGGCAGGTGTGAATTTCATCCAACTCAGGCAGGAAAGACCCTTCTCTCAGCATCCCGTTCTTCCCCCAATTGTGCTTCTCACCAGCACAGTCAGTGCCCTCTCAGTCCATCCAGGGGCCGAGGGTCAGGCTGAGTATGTGAGTACATGGGGGCCTGCCCTGTGTCCCCGTTTGACTCTTGCTTTCTCAGTCACTTCTGGAGCCTCTTACCTTTCCCTCTGCTCTGCTGGGTGAGCATGAGGGTGAGGAAGTTGAGGGGAAGTGGGAGACTGGGGTTACCCCAAGCCGAGGGTATGGGAAAACAAATTGGGAAGTAGCACAGCCCAGCAGCTGCTCTGTCCCCAACCTTGTACCCAGGCTGCAGAGCACCCCTTTTGCTCCTCTGCCCTCCTCCTTGCTCCCAGTTCCCTTTGCACCAGGATTGTGGTCAGTGACCAGGCCCAACATCATTAAGCAATGTTGACACCAGCATGTACCACCAGTGGCACACACTTGATGTGTTTTAATGAACTCAAACGAATGCCAGCATCATGGTGTGGAAAGGCCCACCAGGCCCAGAGAAAGAGCTCAATGGGTTAGAATGCGGGCATTGCATACAGGAGTCCCGGGTTCAACCTTTGTCACTACATAATGCCCTTAGCATAGCCATGAATGCTCCCAAGCACTGAGCTGGGAGTCACCCAGGAGCACTGTGGTTGCAGTCCAACCCCCAACCTCAAAATAACAAAACACCAGGTCTCTGGTCTGATATCTCGGTCTGCTGGACCATGGTCTGTCCTTATTTTGGATGGACACCTTTTTATTTTGGGGGAGCACACTTGGTGATGCTCAAGGGTTATTCCTGGCTCTCAGGAATGACTACTGGTAGTGCTTGGGAAACCATATGGGATGACGGGGATTGAACCCAGATTGGCCACAAGTGAGGCAAGAGGACTACCTGCTGTGCTGTCTTTCCAGCCCCTGGACACCTCTTTTTACAATAGGGCCCCACCCAGCAGTGCTGGGGACCGTGCAGGGCTACGCCCGCAGATGTTGGGCGGCAGGTGGAACTTAGGGTCTCACATATGCTGGATACACTATACTGAAGCCATGAGGACACTACTGACAGGTTCCCCCCGACTGCAAAGTTCCTTCCAGGAGAGGAATAAACTTCCAAAGTGCTGCTGGCCCAAGTACCCAGACATTACCGGGGACCCTAAGCAGGACTCACCACTAGGCTGACAGGACTCCCGCAGGGATAGGGAGTTGATCTCCTGAGTGCCATTGAGCAGGTTGCAGCCAGCTTGGGACTGACACCCCTGGATTCTCAGTTTGTGGGCGATGAACTCTGGGGACAAGGAAGAGAAGAGGGGAGGGGACTTCGTAGGGAGAGACATCGTCCCACTTGCTCCATCCAATCCCAGTGGGTGGTGTGACCCAGGCACCGGGGCTTGTCATCTGCAGGGGCTCAGGCCTCTGCACCCATCACTTTCCCCAGAGATTCAGAACTTTATTCTCAGGCCCCCTCTCCCCTGTTCTCCTACAGTGCCCCGAAAAGGATCCCACATCCCAGCTCACCTCCACCAAGATGGAGAACCCCATCATAGCAATGCGAGGTCCCCACTGGGCAGGTCATCATCGGAGGGGACAGACAGCCTCTTGGAGACAAGCAGTATGGACACTGTACAGATCCTGGAACTGGAGAGGAGGAGAGTGGGGAAGGTGTAGAGGTTGCTCTGTGCTCTCTCTGTATCCCCTACATGCCACCTTTTTTGGGGGGGGGTTGGCACACTGGTGGTACTTAGGGCTCACTTCTGGCTCTGAGCTCAGGCACCACTCCTGGTGGACTCTGGTCATATGGGGTGCTGGGGACTGAACCCGGGTCAGCCTCATGCAAGGCAACTACCCTACCCATTGTGCTCTCTCTTCGTCCCTCTAAACTCCACCTCCGGTGGGACCTAAGACTCAACCTCCCCAGGGCTGGAGTGATAGCAGAGTGGGTAGGGCATTTGCCTTGCACGCGGCCAACCCAGGTTCGATTCCCAGCATCCCATATGTCTCCCTGAACACTGCCAGGAGAGATTCCTGAGTGCAGAGCCAGGAGTAACCCCTGAGCATCATCGAGCGTAACCCCAAAAGAAAAAAAAAGAATCAACCTCCTCAGTTTCTCTCTTACAGACTAGGGGTGCGGAGACTCTGAGGGAGGGAACGAGGGATCTGAGAGGTTCAGCAGGGCATGTAGGAGAGAAAGAGATGCCTTGGGGGAAACCACTGACTTCAAGCTCCACTACACTGTCAAGAAGACAGGACACACGGTCACCAGTGATTCTCAAGATGAAGAAGCACAAGCACCGCACGGGGAACTTATGATACAGGATGGGAATGATCTCACCCCAGGAAAGGAAAGGCCCTTCTCTACATCAGCAACATGCATGGAATCCCATAGGATAGAGAAAAGGTGCCCAGGTTAGCTATAGGTAAGAGGACTGAATCCCAGAAATGGCCCAGCCACTGCCCAGTGGCACGTGAGGGGGAGCCAGGGGAGAGTGAACAACAGGAGTCTAGAGGCACAGTGCTCCCCCAGATCCTCCTCTTTCAGACCCGACCCTCCTCTCTCAGATCTGGAGCCCACCCACAGCCCTTCTTACTTCAGACTCAGGACCCATCCTCAGTCACCTTCGAGTCCCATTTCCCACAGTTCCTCCTCCCTCATACCCAGGGTTCAGATCTCAGCCTCATCCTTCACACCTGGAGTCCATCCTCAGCTCTTCTTCCCTCAGACCCAGAACTCATCCCTCAGACCGGGGTCACTTCCCACAGCCCCTCCTCTCTCAGACCCAGGGTCCAGCCCTCATCCTCATCCTTCACACCCGGAGCCCATCCCCAACCGTCCTCCCTCAGGTCTCAAACCCATCCCTATGACTCCTCCCTCAGACCCAGAGCCCATCCAGAGCCCTGCTCCCTCAGATCTGGCCCAACCCAGCCCTTGAGCACCTGTGGAGGGCACCCGATTCCAGAGTGGCAGGGTGCTGGAGAGATCGTTGCAGAGGTCATCTCTGCACACACGAGTATAGGATACGAAGGAGAGGCTGAGGTCTGCCTTGTGTGTGGTGACGCGAGCTTCCTGAAGTGGTGTCCACGTGCAGCCCTTGATGAGCACCAGCTTCACCAGAGGTCCTGGGAATGGACAGGGGCAAGAGTCAGGGCTCAGCATATGGGCCCGGGCAGCAGCAGAGGGCCGACTCACCATTCTCAATGAACAGCAGCGTGTCCTGGCATGCGTCACTGGACTCGGAACAGTACGTCTTGCCCGCGGTCCATTGAATGAACTGGTCTGATCTATTCACCACTGACTCGTAGGTCCCACTCTGGCAGACCAGGGCCTGCACCCCTAGAATGGAAGCACCAGTTGCCTCAGCCCACTTGCCAAGGAACCCCGCTCCCAGGCCAGGGTCCTCACTTACGGGGCTGAAGCTGGAGGGTGATGCCCAGGAGGGTCAGCAGCAGAGTGGGTATCATGGTCAAGACTCAGGCTAGCTTCTCTCCACCCCCAGGAAAGAGTGCTTTTATAGGGAACTTCTTGAAAGGTACTGAGAAAGGGGTGGGGAGGAGAGGGCCTTACTCCACAAAGCCTGTGCTGCCCTCAGAGTTACGTTACTAAAGCTTTCCTCCTCCCTCAGACCAGTGGTCCTTCCCCAAACCCTCCTCCCTTAGACCCAGGGAGGGTCTTCCCTCCATCTTCCAGTCTCTTTCCTCAGACCAGGCGTCTATCCCCAGGCCCCACCCTTAGACCAGGAGTTCATCCCCCAGACCCTCCTCCCTCAGACTCACTATTCCTGAGTGCAGAGCCAGAAACAACCCCTGAGCATTGCTGGGTGTGACCCCCCTTCCCCAACAAACAAACAGCATTTCCCCCTTCCTATTCCTTAGCTGTTAACATGACGACAGGCTCTCACATGCTTTCAGTGTTCACATACTCTTTTTTGGGGGAGCCACACCCGGCTGTGCTCAAAGTGTATTGACGATTCAGGGATCACTCCTGGAGGCTCAGGGGACCAGATGGGATGTGAGGATGGAACCTGGCAAGCAACCTACCCAGTTGACCATCAATCTGGCCTCTCCATTGCTTCTTTACACATCTCTATCCCTGCCTTTATTTCTATCTTCGTCTGTCTCTATTCTTATTTCTGTCTCTCTGTTTCTTTCTCTTTGTCTATCTCTATCTCTTGCGTCTGCTATGTGCTGAGCTTTGATGAACACAGGCCCAATTTTCATTCCTGACATCATATCCTCGTGACATAACTACCTCCCCAAGGCTCACACTCCACACACCTGACAGAGGTTAGTGTCTCAAATGATGTAATTCGGGGATAGGGGGCAGTGCACAAGCATCAATCCAGTGTACCAGGCATCCAACCTGCAACAGGACAAAGCAGGTTTTAGGTTTTCTCTAAATCCTGTGAAACTGCTCTATCGTTGTCTTATTACCATTCGTAAGATGTTCTGGAAAACTCTGCTGGGTTTCAATCTCGATTAACAAAATGTAAACACAGAAGGCTTAACATGTAACAACATTTTAGTAATTTCATGCAAGGACTTAGTGGCCCCATGGTGAGATATAACAATCTTTCTTCCAAGGAAATTTTGTTTATCATTCTGTTAGCAAATTATTGATAACAAGCAATATGAAATTAATTATTGAGGGTCTGTTATGAGGGTAGTCTTAAGGGATGGCTGGGAAACTTGGAGATAATGGTGGGGAGAAGGCTTAATGGTGCTGGGATTGGGATTGGAATATTGAGTGCCTGTAACAAATTATCATGAACAACCTTGTAAACCACGGCATTTATATAAAGTGTAAGGGGGAAATAAAAAAATAATAAATATAAATTAATAAACAAAAATAGAAACTCTTGAAGCATAATCATGTCTGCTGTTCTTAATTGCAAAATATAGGCATACAGTAGTTACTAAGAAAAATATACTATTTCTAACAAGAAAATTTTCAAAAAAGATATGAGGTCTTTGCATTTATTAACATGTGATTTTTGCTTTTTCTGAGCCCATATGGGGATTAGTCCATTTGATTTCTCCCACAGGAACTGAGGCGTTTGCCCAACTGTATTTGTGAAACCAGGTTACAAATTTTTAAAAACTTGATTGCAAGGGACTGAGCCATTGCAAAAAATATCAGCCAGCTGCTACTCCTAAAGTAAAAAATCTTGATATTTACATTTTGGGGGGTTTATTTTTAAATTTTCAATTTTGAACCAACTTCCATCCATTTGATTTCTACATCATCCATGTGGTGTCTAAATACAATTTCAATTGGGCCAGAGAGATAGTACAGCAGATAAGGCATTGCTCTGCACCTGATTGACCCAGGTTCAATCCTGGCATACCATATCATCCCCGAGTACCACCAGGAGTGGTACTCAGGGACTATATGTAGTTTCGTCCCTAAAACAAAATAGTAAAGTAAGTAAAGTAAAGGCCCTCCCGTTGATCATCGATTTGCTCGAGCGGGCCCAGTAACGTCTCCATTGGAGACTTTGTTGTTACTGTGTCTGGCATATCGAATACTCTCGGTAGCTTGCCGGGCTCTCCGAGAGGGGCGGAGGAATCGAACTTGGGTCGGCCATGTTGGCCGCGTGCAAGGCAGACGCCCTACCCGCTGTGCTATCGCTCCAGCCCCCAAAAAAACAAAATAAATAAATATAAAATTTCAGTCAACAAAAACCAAACTCTTCTTTTTACAAAAGTTTTTGGGCCACATCTGGTTATGCTTAGGGTTACCCCTGGCTCTGAACTCAGGGAACACTCCTGGAGGTGCTTGAGAGACCATATGGGGTGCCGGGGATTAAACCCAGTTAACTGTGCGCAAGGCAAACACCGACCTGCTGTACTATCACTCTGGATGAAAAGAGCAAACGTTTAAGCCCTTTGAGCTCTACTAGTATGAGTTACAGAGATGAAGGGGTTGGAAGATAGGGAGAGAAAGGGATTAAGACAGGAAGAAAGAGGAAGAGGGGAGAAGAAAAAGAGAAGCAGAGAATTTTTTTGTTGCTTTTTTGGGGTCACACCCGGCGATGCACAGGGGTTACTCCTGGTTCTGTACTCAGGAATTACTCCTGGAGGTGCTCAGGGGACCATGTAGGATGCTGGGAATCAAACCCGGGTTGGCTGTGTGCAAGGCAAACGCCCTACCCGCTGAGCTATCACTCCAGCCCAGAAGTGGAGAATTTAACCAAAAAACAAACAGAATGGAAAATGAGAAAAGAGGATGAAAAGAGACTAAAATAGGGTCAAGATTTGGGGCTGGAGCTATAATGTAGCAGGTAGGGCGTTTGCCTTGCTCGTGGCCAACCCGGGTTCGACCCAATACCCCCAATCCCTAGCATCCCATATGGTTCCCTGAGAACTTTCAGGAGTAATTTCTGAGTACAGAGCTAGGAGTAACAGCTGAGCATCACCAGGTGTGACCCAAACAAATAAAAAGACTTGTAGAAGCTGAACATTAGCCTTTTGCTCCAGACATTTACCTCTAAACCCATCCAGATGGAAATCATCATGCTGTATATTATAATTTCAATGCAAATAGCCCCTTACAATCAGCTCCTAGCACAGATCCTAAGCCCTGACTCTGTTTTTTGCACAGTGGACTTGGACTTCAGAGAGCTTGAAGTCACTGCTCCTCAAGCGTCCACTCCCCATCACCCACCACGGTGCTTCTCAGGTAGCAGTGCTGGGCAGGAAGGAGTAAGGGACATTGCTGTGCCCAGCATCCTTCAAATACTCACCACACAGGCTTTCTCCTGTATCCCACTCATCCTCTAAAGACACATTCAGAACCTTCCATATGATTACTCGCCTCTTTTTGTTTGGTCAAACATCTTCAATTCTCTAGATAGCGTTTTCCCCCTTCTACTTTTTAAAAATAACTTTATTAAGTTATTAGTTTAGTTACAGACATTCAATCTTCCAACACCAATCCCTCCACCATTGCCCCTTCCCACCACCATTATTACCAATTTTCTCAACCACCTTTGAGTCCTCCATAGCAAAAACCTCAGTAACTTATTTTACATTGCCTGTTATAAATAATTTGCTAAAATGATGATCAAAAATGTTTTCTTAGATGATAGTGAAGATTGTTGTATCTCACCATGGAGTGTTTCAGCCCTTGTAGAAAAGATTATTAAAATATTGTCACAGGTTGAGCCTTCTGTATTTACATTTTGTTAATCGAGATTACAAAATTACATTGCATCCCATTCACTCTGGTGTGCTACTCCTGATTTATCAGTGTTACAGAGTTTGAGATGTTGCATGGCTGAAATCCTGGCCACACACTCCAGAGTGTCCAAAATTTATAACAGGGTGATAAATCTGGAGTTAAATTTTAACTTGACGGCAGCTTTGGGGTGTGTGTGTGGCTTCCAGAAGTACAGGGAGATGTGGGAAGGTAGCCCATTCCTGACCCCATGGAAGCTCGAGATTTTTTAAAAAATTTTTATTAGTGAAACACCATGAGTGAGGTACAGTTGTAGACTTACAAAGTTTTGTGCTTGGGTTTCAGTTATACAATGATCCAGTACCCATCCCTCCACCAATGCCCATTCTCCATCATTTACATTTTAAAAAATTTTTTTGTTAGTGAAACACCATGAGGTACAGTTGTAGATTTACAATTTTTTTTTGTGCTTGGGTTTCAATTATACAATGATCAAATACCCATCCCTTCACCAGGGCCCGTTTTCCACCACCACGGGTCCCAGTATATCCTCCCACCCCCCCATCCCTTTATCCCACCCTGACTCTGTGGCAGGGCATTCCCTTTTGTTCTCTCTCTCCCTTTGGGTGTTGTGGTTTGCAAAAGAGGCAATGGGTGACAATCATGTTTGGTCTACAGTCTACTTTCAGCATGCTTCTCCCATCCTGGGAGGATCCTCCCAACACCCTTTATTTGGTGCTCCTTTCTCTATCTGAGTTCCCTTTTCCCCTAGAATATGTGGCTGGCCTCCAAGCCATGGAGCAAAACTCCTGGTACTAATCTCGGCCACTCTTGGGTGTTAGTATCCTATTTTGTTACTTTATGTTCCCCAGATGAGTGCAATCTTTCTATGTCTATCCCTCTCTTTCTGACTCATTTCACTTAACATGATACTCTCTTTCTGACTCATTTCACTTAACATGATACTTTCCATGTAGTACTACTTGTATGTAAATTTCACAACTTCATCTTTTCTAACAGGAAGCTCAAGATTTTAGTCACAAAACCCTCATACCTGATTTTTTCAACAAATTAGTTTCTGGGTGATGCTTGTCTGGGCAGTGTGCAATTGTAGAGGGTGGAGGTTTTCGACTGCCAGGGCTCTGTTTGGGCGGGCAAGGTGGGGGTCACTTGTCCCCATCGTGGTTGCTCCAGGATAACTCAGCCTTGTGTGGGGATCCAGGAGAAATTCTGCTACTTACAGATCTATTTTGAGATTTATTTCTGAGTCTTGAATCATGAACTG